AAACATTTTTAGCAAACAGAAAAACAATACTGTGAAAAATGTATGTACTATAAGTTTTATGTTAATTATTCACTGATACATTTTCTGTCACAGTCACTCTTCACAGACACATGTGAGCCTGATCTTACACTAATGACACAGAGAACAAAACACTTTACTACAGGAGCTGCTTCAGTCTCATTTAAAGAGCTTTACTGTTGAGGATGGTAATTAAGCTCAGTATAGACATGCATTTGTTCATCTATGACTATGGAGAGATGGAAAGACATATTCATGTTTGGCTGCATGATCTATTTTTCATGGTTAATGTATACCTCCTTGTGGCTGCTTGTGTAATTGTGTTTCTGGAAAGAAGCTCCAGACTGAGTTCAATAAAGAGGAAATCAGTGATTTATTGTTTTATTTCATTCATTTCTATCACAAGCATCTTAGTGGAGAAATAAGCCAACACAACATTATAATGTCAAAGATAATAAATACCTTTTGATAGATGTTTTTTTCTCACTGAAGTTTGGTGGGTCACCATCCTTTGACCGGTCACTCTTCACAGACACATGTGAGCCTGATCTTACACTAATGACACAAAGAGAGAAGAGAAACTTTACTACAGGAGCTTCATCTGTGTTTTATATCGACACACATTCTCTCGAGTCCTTCACAGAAACCTTTGCAGAGTTTTAAAGATAGCAGTCATTCTTTTACAGACTCACATTTGTTTAACAATTTCTGTAAAGCACTTCAAATGTGAGACTAAATATATTTTACAAATATTTGACTGATCTAATTAAAAATATTTTATTTTTCATTTCCTTTTTTGACTAAAATAAAGAGCAGAAATGTCAGCGCTACACAGTTCTGTTAGCATGCTTTAATTAAAGGGACCATATGACACTATTTTAAGAGTTCACTGTTTATTTTGCAACTCTCTTATCTTTCAGATACAATCTCATGTAGTTATAATTTCTCTTCTTCACTGTAACAACTTTATGTCCTGAAGTGCCAACATAAAATACAGTAATTTAGGTGTGGTTTATTTTATTGTATGTACAAAATTATGTTTGATGTACGTGATGTTATTAGTGTCTTTCTTTATAGATATAAATTCTGTATCATTTTATGAGACGATCATATTATGTTTTATTAGAGCAGTTTTATAGTCTTTCAACAAATATTCTTACTTTATTGAAGATGCAGGACAACCACCTAGCAGCTAACCAGCTAGCATATGAATCTAAATATACTTCATTTTTCTAATAACATTTATAACAAAATCGTTTCCTCGTTGTGTATATGAAGATAAACAAGACAAAACCTTCTTTAGAGAACTATAGATGTTAGCAGGCACACAAATAGCACGGAGAGACCGATAAAAACTATTCAGAAATGACCCTGTAAACATGTTGATTAAAAACAAAATAAGAAACGTGTATTTTACAATTACGCGCCAAATTCTGTTTAAAACTACAAAACTCTGTAACAGAAATATCAATAACACAACGTATCAAACAAAAATAATGTTAAAACAGTTACTGATAGACAGTCAGGTGTGAGGGGAATATAGTTTGTTATTTAAAAGCTTTATCAAGAAATGTAATTAAGCCCCAAAAGCATTATTTAATGGCTTTTAGATATAACTAGAATTATGAAATTATTCATTCGCGACGCAAGAAAAATCAGCAGACAACAAAAGCAGACAATAAAAGTTTGATACTTGAAGCAAACAAAGTAAAAGACAGATCTCTCTCTTTATTGACTAACAAGATAAAGCATCTCAAGTTAATTAAAGTGAGGATGATCAGATGCAAACCTACATGACAGAATATCTCACACCTGCATTTTGTAAAACTGTTGTTATAAAACAGTGAAGATTACATTAAAAATAAATTAGCTTATTTTTCAGCTTCGTGCACAAGAATATTTTGAACCTGTAAAAACCTTTTACATGCATTAGAAGAACATTCTGAACATAAAATTAAACTCGTAATAAAGCATAATAATATAATGTGTATGATGAAGCAAAGTTGTATATAAGAATAACACTTTAGATATTGTTCTTTGGGAAGGAAATACATCTTTGAGTTGATCTGAATCTCACAGAAACTGCTGGTCTTGAAGATGAACTTTATTCACTGTGACTAATTTAGATGATGTTTCTAATGACAGATTAATATGGAAGAGATGTAGAGCTTGAAAGCAGTGGACCTGAAGATAAACTACTTGATGTTAGGGCTGTCAAAAAAAATAGAATTTTGAATATTCGTCGAATTTAAAATAAATATCCACATTCGAATGCAAAAACGTTGCATTTGAATTTTAGGTGTGTGTTAAGGAGGCAGCCTTATCAGCGTTATATTTAAATGCATTATAATGTTTTTGTTAGCCTATAGTTGAAGCTACTAGACGCGGCGCTGCTGGGTTGTTCATTAAAAATATAGCGGAAAAAGAGAACATCAATGCGGAGAAGATCTTGTTTACATCAAAACCAAGCCGTTCACACAGAACACATATTTCACACATTTTCTAGATCGACATCTATTACTGTTGCACTCGCGTCTCGCACAAAAGAGAGACGCGAGCATGCTTTGCATGTTTAGAAAGCCATGTAAAATTAATGCAAGTTTAGCGTTGAAAAAAAAAACATATATCGAGACTTTATGGCGGGTTTTTCCCCATCCCACTGCGTCTCATGTTTTTAAATGAAAAATGTACTTTGTGTGATTGGCTTTCGGCGCTTTGTATTAAATTATGCATACATACACGATGCTGTGTTGTTTATAGTTGTTTAAGCAACTTAATTATAATTGGTTTATAAACATTATTTTAAACATGATGCACTTTTTTTCGCAGATAGTCCTGTTATCTTATGCTTTGAATGATGCGCCTCTTGTGGCCTCAGGAGAGAAGCCAAAAGCTTTTCTTTACCCTAACTGAAATTATGCATTTTAAATTCGAATATATGTACAAAATTCGAATTTAGTTTTTCAGCTATTTTGACAGTCCTACTTAATGTGGTTGTTTATTTTATGTCTCTGTAGAGAAGACGAATGACTGAAACTCTTCCCGCATGCAGTGCAGTGATATGGTTTCTCTCCAGTGTGGATCCTCTCGTGTGATTTCAGATGTTCTGACCGACTGAATCTCTTGTCGCAGTGTGAACACGTGTAAGGTTTCTCTCCAGTGTGGATCCTCTCGTGCCGTTTCAAATCTTTAGCTGTAATAAAAGTCTTCTCACACTCAAAGCACATATGATCTCTCACACCAGTGTGTATCTTCTGATGAACTTTTAAACTCTGCAGAAGTGAAAAACTCTTTCCACAGAAAGAACATGAATGTGGTTTCTCCTTTGAATGAACTTTCAGGTGATTCTTCAGGCTTGAAGCCCACGAAAATGTTTTGCCGCATTGATCACATTCATACAGTTTCTCTCCAGTGTGGATGTTCATGTGATCCTTAAAGTTTGCTGATTGTCTGAAACTCTTCCCGCACTGATCACATGTGTATGGTTTCTCTCCAGTGTGGATCCTCATGTGTCTCTCGAGACTCTGTTTGTATGTGAAACTCTTTCCACACTGAGTGCAGGTGAAACTTTTCTTGTCTCTTCTTTTCAGTAAAGAAATACTTTCAGTCTGTGAGTGAGTTTTTTCTCCAGTTTTGACATGATGTTTTTTCTCCTCCATTAGACCTGAAATTACAGTTAAAAAGGTAACAATATAAAGAAATCATGTGAAGTGAAAGCAGACAACAGCTACACCAAATTATGATAATTTTTACACATTTTTACAAAATAAGGTACAATTATCTAGTGCTGGGCGGTGTACCGGTTCATACTGTGTTTATTTTTGTTATGATATGAATTTTTAAAATACCGCAATACCGGTGTATGTCGCTTAAACAACGTTGGGAACGCGACACTGTTTGAAAGGGGTCCCTTTTCACTGTTGCACTGTG